GTGATTGATGTAAAGCGAAGTTATGTAACTATGACTGCAACAAAGATTGAGATCATCATGAGAAAAGCTGAACCTATGCAATGGGCAAGCCTTGAATTACCTATAACCAAAAACCAGGAAAAACAAAAAGAAGATAAAACAGAATAAGCTGAGAAGAAAAAGAAGTCATTTCAGAATTATTAATATGTGGTGTGTGGTGGGTTGCTGCTGTAATCTTTTGGTTTTTTTTGATGTTGTTATTGTTGAATCTGGCATTTCAGGGTCAACAGTAGGTTTTTAAAAGCCAAAGTCAGTTTATCTTTTTGTGCCGCCCATTTTCCTTTTGAGTTACCTAAGTTTGATTATTCATTTCTCCTCACTTAGATGTATTCTATACTTGAAGAAGCTAGAAAATAGCTCATAAACAGTTAACAATATTTCTTAGTGTAATATTATGTTAAGCCACAAAATACAAACATTTGTTCAGATCTTCCTATTCCGTAATTAGTAAAACAAGATGGAATGTCAAAATTTTAATTCTTTTTTTCATGAGTTTCTGTTCCTATGATACTTGAAAATCTTTAAAAAAGAGAGAAAGCTCTGCAATATTTTTTCCACTTGGGATGGTTACTTTCTGTAGGAAGTTTAATTCTGAGGCAGCGTAGTAAGTAGTTAAAGAGGAATATGTACATTGATTAAAAAATTAGAATTCGTTTACAAACCTAATTGAAATAAACTATATCAGTACCTGTATTGTCAAGCAGTATGATTTAAGAGTATAAGAAACAAAAGTATAGAGGTATGAATTTGATTAAAATTTACCATTTTATAAGACTTAAGCAATATTGTTAAATATCTCTTTCCTGATTAATAAGGTCTTGGTATGATGTTACGACTAAATTGTGTCTGAATTATAGCCTACATTCTCTTAACCATGTTTAATTACATGTAAAGAGAAATACATATCTGGCCTCCCTGATGGAAAACTATAAAATTATAGATTAAAAGGCTTATGGAAATACATTAGAGTATCAGAAAATGATTTAAGCTTTGCTTTATGACAACTATCTATTACATGTTAAATAAAATCGCTTAATTGTTTTGGAGGTTTTTTTAGGTTTTCATGAACAGTTTGACAATTCTAGGTGATACAATGTTGATTATGTATTGTACTTTATTACATAGATGTAGAATTAGATTATTTATGATAATTGAACCCCTTAAAGGATAAGTTAACTTTCTGAGATAGAGCAGAGCTCACAAAGAAAATGAAAAATAAGAAATATTATGAAGTCCAAAACTCTCATAGAACTTAATAAGTTTGGGCATGAATTATGCTTATGTAGATTAAAATGATTATTTCCTAAGCCTCTTCAGTGTTTTGCTTTTCTTGGTATTAATAGAATTCATATAAAGGAAAATTTTGCGGGCTAAAATTTTAAAGTGTTAGTATATCTCATTCTACAACCCTTAGCTGATAACTGTTATAGTTATGTAATTATTAAATGGTTTGCTTTGTTACAAGATATAAAAACTCTTCCAGCCAGGCTTCCACGACACTAAAATATCATTGCAAGAAACTTTTGGCAGTAAAAATTAGACCCAAATAGAGTAGGTCTATAAATCCTTGGGTTGTATTTAAATTTTTAAAAGTTAATCTTTCATAATTGAGTGGCCTGAGCTCATTTGGAGACATGAAATCTTTTTTATTGTTTAGGGAAAATGTTGATACTTGGTTTGAGGTCATGGTTAATGTACCCTTTTTTAATGCTTCCTTCTTGCAGCTCGTTTCCCCTAAACGGTTTCTTCATATCTTATGTGCTATTGGATTATTATTTAACGTAAATGGACTATATGCCTAAGAGTTAGTTACAAAGGACAGTCTGGTTTTTTTTAGATACAGCTTACATATTTAGTCTAGTTGCATTAGTGACCCTTCTATTTACTTTCTTATTTCTGTGTACCTCTGAATTTGTTGCCCAGATAATTTAAAGATATTTATCTTTGACTCATACATGAAGAGACACAGTTATAATTAGGTAGAATATGTTTTGCTTTTTACAATCTGTCATAAAAATAAAAAGTGATTTACTTTATTAAGTTGTTTCTCTAAAAAATATGCTTTGTCTTTCTCAGCATTCGGAGTAATTACTATAGCAAAGCAGTCAAAGCTGTTTGTTATGCACTTGGTAAACTAACGACAGCTGAACTAACCATGGGAAAGAAAATACTATTTTTCTTGCCTAGTACGTTTGCTAGTACACAGTAAGGTCCTAAGAAGTTGAGCTTTTATTTTTTTAATCTCTTTTTAGATAATTTTAGATTTACAGAAGAGTTGCAAAAAAACAAATACTGAGTTCTTTATATCCTATGTTAATATTCCCCTTTTGTTTAAATCTTATATAACCATAGATCATTTACAGAACTAAATTGTCTTGGTAAAATACTATTAACTAAAGTAGAACATTAATTTTGACCATCTGTTTTTAGTGAAACACAATTTATTACAAGGTAGCTCTTGAGACCTATGCCAATTTTTTTGTGTGTGATAATTTAAGCCAGGAATTTAAAAACGATTAAAAATACAAATTGAAATCAGTTTACCATTGTCAAGTGTTTATAGGTCCATGATGTAATTCCTTGTAACCATTAACTGGCAAAGAACAGTAATGATCTATTTAATTAGAATTTATATTTTATGCCATAGATTTTAATTCTTATTAAGTATAACTTGTTTGGTTTTCTTTAGACAGTTATTCAGCCATAGAAGGGTAGAGAACCTTAAAAAGTTCTTCCAAATATTTTAAGGTGACTGAATTACTGCTCTGCCACCCCTTGCTTAAAAAAAAAAAAAAAATTGGTCATTCCCCAGCCTGAAAATGCTTGTCATGCATACACCCACAATAAAAATTGTAAAGCTCATTTATGAGGTCTGGTGTCAGTTTTAGAGCATTTGGGTATGTACTCTTAACTTTTTCTTAACAGCCAGGTATTTGCAAGTTACCTGTTAGAACAATAACAGGGTTTTGGGGGTGTTTTTTTTGGTAATTTTATTGCAAATTATTTTGATCTAGCACTCATACTTGGTGTTTGGTTTGATTCTTTTGCTTATAATTTCATGTTCTCAGTTCTGAAATGAAAGCTAAGTCCATCTTGATTTTAGGTTTTGTTAATCAGTGGGTTTTTTTTTTTTTCTTTTAATAGTCTATTGGGTAGCTGGGAAGTTGTTTTTTTTTACCTGATTCCTTTTTTTAACATTTTTATTAAAAATATAGTGAGCATAAAATATTGTATTAGTTTAGGATGTACATATTAGTTATTCAACGTTTATATACTTAAAGAAGTGATCGCCATGATAAATCCAGCAACCATTTGACACCATACCACACTACCACAATATTATTGACTATGTTCCCAGTGCTGTACATTACATGCCCATGACTTATTTATTTTATACCTGGAAATTTGGAACACTGACTGCCCTTCACCTTTTCCTCCCTTTTTAATTTTTCAGATACTGTTGACATTCAGTATTATGTTAATTTCAGGTGTACAGCATAGTGGTTAGACATTTATATAATTTAAGGAGTGACACTCTCCCATCCCCGACTAGTACCCACCTAGCACTATACATAGTTATGCCATATTATTGACTATATTCCCCATGCTTTGCTTTACATCCCCATGATTATTTTGTAACTACCAATTAGTACCTCTCAATCCCTTCCTCACCTTTTCTACACTGCCTCCAACTCCCCTCCCATCAACCCAATAAATCTAGTACCCATCTGATATCATACATAGTTATTACAGTATTATTGACTATAATCCTTATGCTACACCCTACATCCCCATGACTACTTTGTAACAACCAATTTCTACTTAATCCCCCTTCTCACCCACCTTCTCAACACCCCTCCCATCTGGCAGCCATTTAAAATGTTCTCTGTATCTATGAGTGGTTTTTTTCTTTAGATTCCACATATTATAAGTGAAATCACATTGTATCTGTCTTTCACTGTCCTGACGTACTCCACTCAGCACAATTCCCTGCAGATTCCATCCATGCTGTTGCTGATGGCAAGAACACATTTCCTTCCCTGATTGAGCAATATTCCATTGTGTGTGTGTGTGTACATGTACGTACATATGTACGTGTGTGTACCACCACCTCTATGCTTCTATCTACGGCCACCAGGCTGCCTCCACATTTTGACCCTTTAAAACAATGTTTCAGTGAACATAGGGATGACCATGTCCCCTTGATCATTTTGGGTTTCTTCAGATAAATAACCAGGAAGTGGGATTCTTGGGTCTTTCTTTGTCCCTTGTTATAGCCTTTGTTTAAGTCTATTTTGTCTGATACAAGTATTGCTACTCCAGCTTTTTGCTTTTTTGTTTTTCTTCCATTTTCGTGAAATAATTTTCCATCTTACTACTTTCAGTCTGTGTGTCTTTAAATCTGGTGAGTCTCTTGTAAGCAGCATATGTAATGGTCTTGTTTTCTTATCTATTCAGTCACCCCATGTTTTTGATTGGAGCATTTAATCCACTTAACATTGAAAGCAGTTGTTGATAATATAGTTGTTATTGCCATTTTATTCATAATTTTGATTTTTTTTTTTTTACTATCTTAAGTTCCTCTAACATTCCTTGTAATACTGGTTTGGTGATGATGAACTCCTTTAGCTTTTTCTTGTCTGGGAAGCTATCTGTTTTAAATAACATCCTTCAATTTTTTATGATAGCCTTGCTGGATAGAGTACCCTTGGTTGTAGGTCCTTATTTTTTATCACATTGTATATATGCCATGCCAATTTCTGGCCTGCAAAGTTTCTATTGTGCAGTCAGCTGACAGTCTTATGGGAGCTCTCGTGTAGGTAACTGCTTTCCTCTTGCTGTTCTTAGGATTCTGTTTCTAACCTTTTCCATTTTAATTATAATGTGTCTTGGTGTAGGCCTGTTTAGGTTCCTCTTTTTTGGGACTCTGCACTTCCTGGGCTTGAATGTTTATTTCCTTCACCAGGTTAGGAAAGTTTTCAGTCATTATTCAAATAGATTCTCAGTCTCTTGCTTTCTCTCTTCTCCTTCTGGTACCCCTACCCCTATGATACGGAATGTTGTTATGCTTCATGTCCCAGAGGTCTCTTAAAACTATCCTCATTTTTTTTTTTAATTCTTTTTGCTGTTCCGATTGGGTGATTTCGGCTACCTTGTTTTCTAAATCACTGTTTCAGTCCTCTGCTTCATCTAGTCTTTTTGTGATTTCTTTTAGTGCATTTTTTCAGTTATTCACTTCTGACTGGTCTTTTTTATGGTTTCTACATCCATTTTTTTGTGCTTACTGTCTCTATTGAAGTTCTCACTAAGTTCCTTAAGCATCCTTAAAACCATTGTTTTGAACTCTATATCTGGTAGGTTGTTTGCCTCCATTTTGTTCTTTTTCTGGAGTTTTCTCCTGTTTCTTTTGGGACATATTTGTTTCTTCATTTTGGCTATGTCTCCCAAGTCTTGGCTGGGTGGCCTTATTTAGTAGGGGTCCTGTTGGGCCCAGTGACACAGTCTCCCTGGTCACCTGTGCTGGGTACTTCAGGAGTGTGCCTTGTGTGGGTTGTATGTGCCCACCAACAGCCATAATTGCTGTTCACAATGTCAGTGGACAGTATTGACCTGACTCAGACTAGGCTGGCTAGCTGTGGGGTCTGGCCACGCCCACAGTTTATGTGGGGCTTACTCCACTGAGTGGGCTTTGCCTCAGAGGGCTATGGTGCCTCTTGAGACCACCCTTTGTGTGTGCTGCTTGTGGGGCTAAATGGGTGGTGCTCTGCTGTGATCTGAAGCCGACCTCCAAGTATGTTTTGGGGCCTCTTGGGAGGAGCTTGGGTCCAAGCCCAGGTGAGCCACAGCCTGTGACCAGCTGGGGACTACTTGAAAGGAGCTACAAAGTGGTCCACAGTTGGTCGCTGCCTATCCTGTACCTGGAGGTGTGTGGGAGAGGCCACACTATGAACTGAGGATGGCTGCTACTAGTACTGAGTCTAGGGTACCTCCAAAAAAAACTAGAATGCTCCAAGACCTGCTGCCACCTGCTGGCTCCCATAGGTCCAGCTGTTGATAAAGCCTGTGGTATGCAAGTTGGGTGAGGCATCTTCTCAGTGAGTCAGCAGGGTGAAGCAATTGAGCTCATCAGGCCACGCAGATTCAAATTAGGCCCGTGGGGGCGGACTCAACCCAAGAAAAATGGCGCCTGCCGGCTGCATGAGAGAGAAGCTCCACACAGGGAAAATGGGGACTGTCCCTCCAGTCCTCGCCCTGAAGTTACATAACTCAGTCTCTCCCTAGATGTCTCTGACACCCCCAGAGTCACCGCCCTCTGCTGGAGCCCAAGGTGAGTGCCTGCGAGCAAGTGTGGGGCCTGTTTAGGTCTGGCTTCCGTGCCACCTGGATGGTCAGAAACCCCACTGTTTTTCATAGACAATTGTAGAGGCTTCTGTTCCTGGCTCCAGTACTCCAGGCTGGGAAGCCTGGTGTTGGGTGGCTGGGGTCCCTCGCTCCTTCATGGGAACCTTTGTTGCTTAGATAATCCAGTGTTCAACCACCACATGTGGGTGTTGGACCAGCTGTTTCGCATCTCTGCCCCTTCTAACAGTCTCAACTTGGCTGCTTTAGATCCTTAGTTTTCCCTGATTGCTTTATTGCCCAAGTGTATTACACTCACCTGGAATTGTATGGCTTGCCTTGGCCTGGGGCTTTTTACGTGTGGCATCAGCCTGAAAATACTGGGCTTGCAATGTTATTTTGCGTAGTTATTGTTTGATTTTAAATGTTTATATAGTTCTTAGTTGTGAAGAATTCTCTCAAGAAGTTTTTCTGAAGAGCATGTTTTTATTAAATGCTAATTAATGCCTTTTCTCAGTTTCACAATTTACTAGGCCACCTTGAATGTCTATTAAAATAAAACGTCCAGCCTTTTGAGCTCCTTTTGCTCTGCCCACTCCAAACTCTGGAGTGTACTTTCTCTTCTAATAATGGCCCTTGAGCCATTCTCTACTGCTCGGGCCCGCTTCTGCTTCTTTGAAATGTATTTTTGCTTCTAATAAACTCTTCTGCAAAAAAAATAATTAAATTTTTTAAATAAAATGTCCAACCTTAAAGATAATGTGTTAAAATAATTTAACTCGCATTCATTTTTTACTAAGCAGATATACTGTCCAAATAATTGGATTGTTAAATTACCTTTATTTTTAAGACTTTGCTAATTTAAGTAAGAGTACTGGTTAAGCCGGAAATAGTGAAACCTCTCTCCTCCAAAAATAACTAGATGTGTGTATTAAATGCTTTTTAAAACACTGTGATCTTTCCCTACATAATCTTGTTTCATTTTGCAGTTTCATATTTCTTCATATTTTATTTGTATAATTTGTTAATGTTTGTATCTTCTTATAGACCACAATAACTCTGTTTATGTTTTGGCCAATCATTGTATCCTCATTTTCTAGTACAGTACTTGGCATATTGGTTGGCTTTTGTAGATAACAAGACATGTTATGGGCCAGTCACTGTTGTGAGGACTTTAATGAATATGAACTTAATCCTCATGGAAACCCTATAGGTAGATTATATTATAATATTACAGGCAAGGAAACTGATTTATGGCACAGGTTAAGTAACTTGCCTTAAGTCAAAATTAGGGCAAATGGGTTGTGGAATAGAGATTTCAAACAGGTGTACTGGCTTTGTGTTCTGTGCTCTTTACTACTATTTTGTGCTGCTTATGTCTGTCAGTTGAATTATTATAATAGGTTCCATAAAACATTGGCATATGGCATGGAAAAATAGCAACACTGTGTTTGGTCACCAGGAACAATTTTAATTTCATATACTTTGTTAGAAAATAAATTTATAAAATACATAGCTCTTTT